TGGGTGGGTGGATGGATGGGTGGATGGGTGGGTGGGTGGATGGATGGATGGATGGGTGGGTGGATGGATGGATGCCCTGGGCCCCCGTGGGAGCAGACCCCTACCTTGGGGCTCTGGCTCTTGCAGCCTGACCTCTCGGCCTGGCGCCTGCCCTGGCCCTGTGTTCCCCTGCAGTACAGGACGTCTCTGCTGTTCCCGCCCCTGCTCATGGGCCCGGCAGAGGTTGCCGCCTCGGGACTTGGACAGTGCTGGCCCCAGGCCTACCTCTGAGTTGCAGCCCCCGAACCTGGCAGAGCTATGGGGTGGCCGTCCAGTCTCTGCAGACCATGAGGAGAGCCTCGTTCCCCCTCGGGAGGCAGGCTTTTCGGTGTCAACTTCACGTGGTCTGCACTTGTCATTCCAGCACTTGGGAGGCTGAGGCAGGAGGATGGCTGCAGGTTCCAGGCCAACCTGGGCTCCGTAGTGAGATTCGGGTCAGCCTGCACCACGTGGGGAGGCCGTGCCTCGAACAGAAAATCCTGCTTTCATCTCTGGGCACGGTTTGAGGTCATGGTTTGATCTAATCACGACTGGTCCTCTTCTTGATCTCCTACAGGAAACAGTACCTGTACGCCCCAGGGGCCTCTCTGGAAATATCGCGGGGCGCAGCAACATTTAGTTTCTGGAAACAGCTTCGCAGGAAGGGGCCCGGTCCTGGGGCTGCATCCACCATGAAGTTGTTTCTGCCGAATCGCGTGGCACGGAGCTCACTGCCTACGACCAAGCAGACAGGGCTGTTGGCCTGGCCGTTCTCGTGGAGCCTGTTCAGTGAGCCTGGCTGTGCCCGGGGTCGAAGGTGGGTCCAGGTCCTGAGCCCAGGACCTGGGCCGGGGCCTGAGTGGAAACCGGGCTGCTGCAGAGGGAATCAGAGGAGGCTCTGGAGCCGAGGCCGTCCTGCCTCAGCCTCCTGAATCCAGTGGCAGCGTCCTCACGAGAGGCAGAGGAGGAGACGCAGACACAGAGACAGAGAAGCCGGGTGGAGTCGGAGGCAGAGCCTGGCATGATGGGGCCGCAGCCCAGGGCCGCCTGGAGCCCCGGAGGAGGCAGAGGCGGGAGGGTCTCCCGGGAGCCTGTGGAGGGAGCGCAGCCCGGGACGCCTCTGTCTCAGCCTCCCAGGCCCTGGGATGGGAGAAGATGGCTCTTTGTTGCTTTAAGTCACCGAGTGTACAGCCCCTTGATATGGCACCTGAGTGCTTCATAGAAAGAACTATTAAGCGCGTTCCTGTGTATCTGAAACCGTAAACTTTTTATTTATCTATTTTCCCTGCTATTGGGCTGTGGGGCAGAAAGAACGCTTCCAAATCACAGTGGCCGTGTCCCTCCAGGCCTCTGGGCCTCGCGTTTGTATTTTGCCTTATTAACCTGCTACAAATCTCACTTCTCAGTTTCATGGTAGCTTTCCTGGCTGCCTTAGTTTTCTCTCTCTCTTTTTTTTTTTTTTTAGCTTTATTTCATTTCTCTTTTTGTTTGACTTTGGTTTTTTAGGTTTTCTTTTTTTTTACACCATGTGTTTATTATTCTTACAAAGTTTCTTATATACATTTGAAAGGGAAAGGATATTTATGTTTAAACTGCCACAGGGATATATGAACACTAACTGCATTCACAGATCTGTTGGCTTTTTACGAAACAAAGACTTTTAGCCAGCAGTTTTATTTTTTGTGGCCCTGAGGATGGAGCCCACCGCCTTCACAGTGAGCCACCTCCTGAGCCCTCTCTTAAAGATGTTTTGTTTTGCTTTGAGATAGGATCTTGGCAAGTCCCATAGTTGCCCAGGCTGGGCTCCAATGGGGATTCTCCTGCCTCAGCCTCCCGGAGTGCTTGGGTTACAACTGGGCACCACCACGCCTGCTCTCATGGCTTTGAACAATGGCTTCACTTTGTTTTTCTCTCCTTCCTACATAATCAAGATGAAAATGTCATTTTCTGAGTGGGACAGAGATACGGGCTTGAAACAAAAGCAGAAGTGTGGCACGCGGGGGCGGGGGGGGGGACCCTGTAGCGGGGGTCAGGGGAGGGGAGGCCCCGCCGCGGAGAGAGACAGGAGGCAGAAGTGCTGCATCACACTCACATGGTTGGTCGGACCCCAGACTTGCGGGCTGCCTGCGCCTCCCCAGTGCGGGGGACCAGAAGGTCTGAGAGAGGAGCCGCCTGCCGCTCCCCTGGAATCTCAGTGCGTTAGGGGCAGGAAGCAAATTGGTCAGGTCCATGAGCGAAGCCGGGTGGACACAGGATTTCCATCAGGATCTCCACATCGTCCGTGGCAGGGCTTCTGTGACACTTTGAGGTTCGAGAGCTGCTGTCCCCCACGGCGGGGGGGGGCTCTGCATGGAGGCTGCCGAGGAGGGATGAGGGCTGAGGCACCATCTGCACCCAGCTCACCAGGGGAGGGAGCTGGGTGGGGGCTGCTCCCCTTGCCTGGGGCCAGCAGCTCCTAGCGGAGGGACTCAGGATGAAAGAGCCCGAGCTGGAGTGTGCCGCTGTGCCATTCCTATCCCCTCGCCCTTGTCCCTCAGAGGATTCTTGGCTCCCCTAAATCTACTCTCATGTCATGTGCTCACACTCTTTCAGGGTGGGTGGGTGGATGGGTGGGTGGGTGGGTGGGTGGATGGATGGATAGGCAGGAAAGTGAATGATTGATGGATGGATGGGTGAATGGTTGCTTGTATGGATGAACCAAAGGATGCATTTGGATGCATGGACGGATGGGTAAATGAAGAAAGATAAATGAATGGACTGGCCCAGATGGATGGACATGTGCAGAGGGGTGGGTGGAGGACAGTCCCACCCTCTTCCTGTCTCGCACGGCTAAGGCTGAAGGTCTGTCCGCGGTGTGCTGTTCCACTGGAATCTGAATCAGCGGGACCCCATCCCTGCTGACCCCCAGTTCCCTCTCTCCTAGACGTCCTGGGTGGTCCCCTTGGAGAACAACATCTTTACCTCTTCAAGCCCAAGGAAGGCCTCCCGTCCTCCCTCACTGCCAAGACTCCCATTCCTGCGCATCCTGACCTCACCGTCGGCTGTTGTGTCCGTGTCCAGCTCTGGGCATTGGGAGCCCCATGGACATTCCGTCGGGCTCCTGCTGGGCAGCGGGGGGCGTGCTCTTGGGGTGAGATCTCTGCATCCGCATCTCACTGTGGACTTTAGAAATCCCCTCTTCACTCCAGGGCTGGGAAGAATAGCATCCCACCACCACACGCACTTCAATACCACCGTGGGCTCCACGCTTCCTCCCTCTGTGACCCTAGGCCGACCACGGCTGAGCAGCACTCGGGAGGCCGAGGCAGGAGGATCACTGACTGTCTAGCACTGGGCAGGGCTTCCAGAGGAGGCATCACAAAGAATGGTGAGCTAGGTCCAGGACCCCCTCCGTCTTCAGTGTTTGACTTGGAAGATGAGAGAGAAAGCACAAAAGTGGGCCTGGGATGAAGCTCAGTGGTTCCGTCGCCTGCCCCGCAAGCGTAAGGTTCCGAGTTCGATCCCCTGTACCAAAAAAAGAAAAAAAGGAAAGCGTGAAAGAAATGCAACCATGTCTCCGGATAGATGAGCAAGGCATAAGGGCTCCGGGCTGAGCCCACACCTACCCCGGGAGCAGGGCTGACCCTGGGCAGTGGCAGCTGACAGCCAGAGCGGGCAAAGGCAATTAATTCTTTCAGCAGAAGCCAGAAGAGACAAAAGACTCAGGGCTTCGCTTCCTCTGCCTGCAGCTTTAGGTCATGCTCCCCAACTCTTCCCTGGCAGAGCGGATGTCCCGGCTGCTGCCCGCTGGCCACCCGCTCGGGATTTTGTCTTACCTCTGAGGCACTGCTTCTGGTGCACTTTGGGGGAAATGAACTCCCTTGCCTCTCTGTTTTTCCTCCTGCTAAGGACGGAGGAAGTGGTTTTCCGGGAAGCCCTGTGGACCTGGAGCCCCAGGCTGGATTTGCCCACGCTTGGGAAGGGCCGAGCTGGTGCCTAGTGCAAGGGAGCAGGAGGGGCCTCTTCCGGCAGGGCTGGACTGAGCCTGCAGAGGAAGGAAGGACGCGCTGAGGGTTCTTCCAGAGGGCAGCGAGCGAGGCCAGAAGCGGGCTGCGGGAAGCAGGACAAGCGTGCAGCCCCTTGCAGGGTGACAGGGCAGAGACTGAGACTGTGACCCGGACCAGCGAATTCCAAGCCGGCCTTGCTGGCTCTCGGGCCTGCGGAGACCGACCGGAGACGGGAGGGACCTGCGAGGAGACCTGGAGGGAGAGGGCTGAGGCCTGGGGAGCGCTCGGCCGGCCCAGGCGCGGTTTACAGAGCTGCAGCAAAGCACCGAGGAGGAGGGGGCTCGTTCAACCAACACCTGATGCCTTCTGACGCGGCCCGCCTGACTTCGGGTTGCATGGGACAGGGCGCGGGGAGGTGCAACAGCAGCCCCGCTGGGCTGGAAGGCAGGTTGTGCAGCGAGGCTCAGAGACGCCGGGAGCCAGTGGAGTCCGAGACTCCGGGTGGGTGCGGGCGACGGGATTCTCCCGGGCGTTGCCTGTGTCCCTTCCTCCCTCCGCGGCCTCTGCTCTCCCCAGAGAATCCGCTGCTCCCCCAGCCTGCACCGCACCCCATGTGGCACATAGTTATCATTTCAGCACCGTGGGAGGCTGACGCAGGAGCCTCCCAAGTTCAAGCCCAGCCCGGGCAACTTGGAAATTCAGTGAGACCCTGTCTTAAAATTTTAAAAAATTACTTTATTTTTGGAGACAAGGTCTCCCTATGTACTTCAGGCTGGCCTTGTGCTCACTGTGTAGCCCAGGCTGGCCTCCAACTCACAGTGATCCTCCTGCCTCAGCCTCCCGGGTGCTGCGATGACAGGCAAAAAATAACGACATTTAACAGGGCCAAGGTTGTGTCTCAGTATGGAGGTTCTGGGTTCGATTCCCGCAGCAGATGTGTTCCAAGTTCTAAGAGGGGCAGGAGCTCCCAGTCAGCCAGGAGACCGCACGGGGTCCACGGGCCTCACGGTGGACAGACTCCGTGACCCCCAGACCCTCCGATCTGGGGTGCTCGAGTTCCTTACGATGCACCGGTGGGAGATTTACAGAGAAGCCCTGCGGTCCTCGCAGGAACCGGGCAGCACCCAGGTGACCGGCAATACCTAGCACAGTACCTAGCGTGCGGCACCTCGCTGTCCCAGGCACAGTGACAAATGACAGAGTGGTCTCACGAGTGATGCTGGTGAAGTTCAACCCAACGGAGGGTCAGAGACCCTCTGAATCTTAGCCAGAGGGTCTCGGGGCGCCCGCCACATCCTCCCGACTGCCGGGTGTCTGTCTCGCTTTTCACGGATGTGCCGCAAACACTGCCCTATCCCAACCACATGGCCACACCCAGAGTACGGAGATGCCCAGAGTGTTTGTTGAATGAATAAACGACCCATTGCAACTGCACATTGCACAGAGGACTCTTGTGTATTCTGTCACAGCAGTCCTCCGGGGCAGCTGCCCTGGACCCTGAGGCCCTTGGAAGCTCCTACCAGCAGGCAGACGCACTACAGCAGAAGAAAAACTTGGGCAGGTATTTGAATTCTAAATTTATCGAGACATCGTGAGACCTTTGGCTTCTGCACGAGCAGAGCTGCTCAGCGTGGTGGCCGTCAGCTTCCAGACGTGGATGAGGACACAGAGCTGCTGATGTGGGTAGACAGTTTTTTTATTTTTGGTGCCGGGAATCGAACTCAGGACCTTGCGCTTGCCAGGCGCCACTGAGCTAAATCGCCAGCCCATGGGTGTACACATTGTTTAGGAGTCTCTGTATGTGCACACCCATCAATATACATATACATAGTATATCATTTATATATATATATATATATCAAAGATACACAAAAGCATACGAGACATATATATATCAAGAACACACACATATACATAATATATCTGTGTATATACACACATCTCTCATACGCATATATACAGACTATGCATATATATCACATATCTGTGCATATGTAGGCTACCTATACATAGCATACGTGTATGTATATCTCAAACACATATAGGGCATATATGTCAATGCACATATATATACATAGCACAGATATGTGTCTCGATAAACATATATACATAGCATGTGTCCATATTTCTCTCAATACACATGCAAATAATGTATGCTTATGTATATCTGAATACATGCACGTATTTATATCACATATATCTTTGTGTACCTATGGGAAATAAAATAGGCATATGAAATATATATATATATAAATACTATGTGCTATGTACACATATATATGTGCATCACATACGAGATATGATCGAACTATACAGTGAATGCTTCAATTATATTTTAAACTATGATCGTACAAGACCCATGGACATGAATCCCCCCTCAAAATCCTCACCTGTCTGTGCACACTCCTCCCACCGTCCTGGCCGCATCCTGCAGCTGCTCTGGGGTCCCCTTTCCCGAGGGCTTCACCAGGTGTGGTCACAAACATGGTGACTGCTCTGCCGGGCGCCGTCCAGCGGAAAGGCAGCTCGGGAACACACGATGCTGTGTCCTCCTCCACCCGAGTCACCGCAGCTGGCACCGTGTGACTCCCGGCTCCTCTCCAAGGTCAGGATAACTGGGAAAGGTCACTGTTCTGAGTCCACTCGGGACATCAAGGGAGCCGGGACTGCGCAGCTAAAGACCCCCAGGAAAGAGGACTCCAGAGCTGCTGCGGACAGCGGCCAGGATGGCGGGAGGAGGGTGTGCACAGCCGGGGAGGATTCTGAGGGAGGTTCACGGCCACGCGGCTTTTCCTGTAGCGTATTTTTAAATTTTAAACATTCACTGTCTTTTTCAATTGCACCTCATATATACACAATCTATACAGACACGCCATATATATGTGAACTATACACATACGTTGTTTGTGTTCCTGTTTTAGAGTTTTGTTGCTGTGAGCAGATTCCTGAGTAAGATCACCTGGAGGAGGGGAGGTGTAGTCCAAGCCCTGGTTCAGCGGTTGTAGCCCCGGTTTCCTGGCTGCCCCGGTTGGTTTTAGGCCTGGGAGGAGGCAGAGCAGGAAGGCAGCTCCCTGAACGGCAGCCCGGAAGCAGAGAGGCCTGGAGCCAGAGAGAGAGAGGGGCCGGGGCAGGCAGGGTCCAAGGGGCGCACAACCTGGCCCCTCCTCTGAATGAAACCCACCTGCCACGCCCCCCTCGCCTGTCAATGATCCCAGCAAATTCATCCCAACGGGCGAACCCACGAGGACAACAGAGCTGGCGTGGTGCAGTCACCTCTGGACTCCTGAGACATTTAAGATCCAAAGCATAAGCTGCCGGGTGTGGGGATGCCCACCTGTCATCCCAGCGCAGCGCTCGGGAGGCTGAGGCAGGAGGATCGCCAGGAGTCCAAGGCCAGCCTGGGCTACATAGCGAGACCCTGTCTCAAAAAAAAAAAAAAAAGAAAAAGAAAAAAAAGAAAGAAATCCAAACCATAAAAGGGCTGGGCAGAGTAGTATGTCCAAGCACAACACATATATCCGTGCGCTGTGTGCATGGGTCTGTATGCACTGCTCTACATTTGTTTGCACGGAGACCTCTGTGTACACTGTGAAGAATACACGTGTGGTCTACACATGTGTGCACCATAGTGCTTGTACATATATCTTTATACACTTTTAAATCACTGCATAAAGACGAATGTCCAGTGCAGCTGCAGAATCCAAGACGGCATGCACACTTGCACAACACTAAATAACGTAATTAACAGAACGGGTTGAGCGTCCTCTTTTACAGAGTGGACGGGTTTCGACCCGGCCACCAGGAGAACGCCTAGCGTGGCCACCTGCTCCCTGCACACGTCTCACAGTGTAGATGTGGTGGCTTCAAACAAGGGGCAGCCCTGTTTTCTTTACATTTTGCTGGTTAGTGCTGGACAGAGGAGACTTGTTGCAGTGAAAATTCTGCAATGAATAATTTCCAAATAAGGGGATGAGCCTTAGAGGGTGGATTTCATAAAGAGGATAAGGTTCATGGGAAAGCACTGGGAGGAAATCTCTGCTGAGAGTTGATGGATACCACGTCCCCAGAACCCCAGGGTGGGTACAGCTGTTTCCTCCCTGGTGTGTGGAAGTCAGAGACTGCCACCTAGAGGACAGGGCTTGGTTTGAATAAAGGGTTGAGGGGCAGGGACACGGGAGGCAGGTGTATAAAGGGAAGCAAGACTAGACCGTTAAGTAGATGCAGGGTGTGTAGATGGTGGGCTGATGGGTGGTTGGGTATGCGAATGGGTGGATGGGTGGGTGGGTGGATGGGGGATGGATGGATGGATGGGTGGATGGGTGGATGGATGGATGGGTGGGTGGATGGGTGGGTGGTGGGTGGATGGATGGACGGATGAATGGCTGAATGGATGCATGCATGGATGAGTGGGTGGATGGATGGGTGG